TTGGGATTTACAGCCGGTATCAAGGAAATCGAGTTTGGACCAGACTTCGTTGTGCAAGAGTAGGTGAACGCATTCCCAGACCTTGCGGGTGGGGCTAACTCACGTGACAGCGCGCATCTTGATGCGATTGCTACTGCAGACGAAGCTTTTCATACCAAATTAGAGAAGTTCGGCTTGGGAGCGCGTCTAGGTAAAACGAACATGCCCATCACCGACGATGCAGTGGTTCGTCTAGCACGCGCGTGCCCAGACCTCAAAACTCTCCGGCTTGACTCGGCCCTGCTCATCACAGGGACGTGCATCCCACCCATCCTCACAGCATGCCCAAACATCACCTCGCTCAGCATTACCGGCCACAACGGCCGCACAGGAAGCTTAAAGCTAGACAATCTCAAGCCCATGGCCGACGACCCCGTCATCTCCGTCAGCGCGCCCAAGCTCAAGAACCTAGACTTGCGTCGCGCGATCAACGCTGCACAGGAAGAAGTCTACTACGATGTTCTGAGAGCGATCACAAGACCGGAGGGTCGGAAGAACAAACTGGAGGTGCTGTTCCAGCATCCGACTTATCATTGGGAGAAGGGCTACAAGAATGGCAGGGAGAAGCAGCCGAGAATGACCCAAGCGATGAAGGCTCAGGAGATGCTTGAGGAGGCTATGTGGGCGGTGAAAGGTAATAGGGGGTTTGATATAGATGATGACGATGATGGGTACGGGACTGATTATAGTGCGATAAGTGCGATTATTCATGGGGCGATGTAGGAGTGTTGTGAGGTGGTGTAGTTGACCTCAGGATCATTTGGTGAAGAAAAGCATGTAATTAATGAATATCCATGATCTAAATATTATCGTAGATATGGCACCTATCCTGTATTTACTGGAAGTCTCAGTGTACGGACTGCAAGCTCAAAGCCCTTGCCTTTGGCCTAGCAGGATAGCATCAGTCTGCGAGATGGTCTAATCATAGGCTACGACAACGTTCGGCATGATCATATGACCCAGTCCAACCCTCATCTTCCATATCCTCGTTGCAGCCCACGTTTGCTTAGAGCAGCTCTCGCGCGTAGTCCCCGCATCCCAAGGCATCCAGTCTTCTTCTGCATCTTTCTTGACCTCAATAGTCCAGGACACAGCTCCGTGATAATCCACGGTGATATTAACAATCGCATCTTGAGTGTAATCGCGCCAAGCCTGCGTGCGACTGAGAAAGAGGATATTCGTGATGAGGCAACTGAAATCGAAGTGTGCACCGCTTGTAATATAGGCTGGAAGATCAAATCCAATACACGTTTGAGGAGCAGTCGTAGCGCGAACAACAGCGGATCTAGCGGCGTTTTGAAAGCGAACCAGTGGCATGAGGTCGAAGGTGCAGTATAGCCTTGGAACCTCGATTTCCAGTTTGTTCCACCATGCTTCTGGCTTTGGTACCAGGTCTGCGATGAACCCGTTGACAATACGGAGGTCCACCTCGTTCTCAGTGTCTTGTATTTCGAGCGGTTGGAATTCTTCGCGGAGCTGACGGCAGGTATGGATTAGGCCAATGGCTGTACGTGGAGTGTAATGGCGTCTCGAGGGCGTCGGCGGCATCTGATTTGCTGTCGGTATTGAGAATCGCATGAATCGCCGTCGGACGGTTAGGTATTCGCATATCTCATTACGGATTTCTGTGAAGGATGTTATCAGCGATCCTCAAAACAGCATTTGAATACTAACCTCCCGGCAGCTGAAGTAGACGTGATTGAGGCTGTGTAATAGGTGATGTCATCTTGTAACTTTGGCTTCTGGTTGAGAATTGGGGTTGTTCTTATGAGGTTGAGCGAGGAGGGAGAGGAGCCAAGCCTTAAGTACCTGGGGATCAAATAGAGAAGCATCATTGAATGGCCGCTGATATACGATGCAGGTGGTGAATGTAGCTTTTGACTTTCACAGTACCTTCCTCATGCTTCCCTTAGGATCTTGAAAAAGCCGCACACCGGGTCCGTGCGTGTCCGATAGTAGGGACCGTGAAGGCATCTGGAGCCTATACCAAAATTAAAACATATAAAGTAGGTGAATCAACGTTAACGTAGGGTCTTTGCATCTTTTACCATAGTACTGCGATGACCTAGAGGCGACCTAGAGACGACGAGCCAACTACACCTCCCGCATTTCATACGACTTATACGCGAGGAGGCACTCTACGAAAGAGAGAAGTATGGCATCTCCAAGAATCTCTTTGCATCTTTTGTATGTCTATTAATTGAAGTTTGCGGATTTCCCCATTTGTGAGAGCATATTTTCGTCTAGGTAGTCGATCTTGCGAAAGTGGGAAGTGGCCAGTCTCGCTCTGCGTCAACGCAGTACCATGATTGACTATGCCCATTGGACGTCGTCTCCTTCACCGCCAAGCTTGTCAATACTTATCTTTTCAAGGCCATCCTCTTCAGCGTTGAGCTCTTCAACGTCGATTCAAAGCTTCCAATCCTCCGGCTAAGCAGACACGCGAGTCTGACCGAACACGTAGCGGGAATGATCACAACTGTCGACGAGATCCACTTCCTTCGCCCACGTCAACAGCTCATCGCTCCCGGGAAAAGGATCACTGATTCCAGGATCTAGCGAAGATTCGAAGGCCAGCACCTTGAATTCAAGTATGATCTCGCAGTAGGGTAGTTCCATGCGAAAGACAAGTCGAGTGCCTGACGGAATTATGAAGTACTCCCAGGCCCATTGCGGTCGTATCTTTGCCTTTGGTTTGGGTGTCCTCGTGGTTCGAGCTCTGATACGGAAGTCTAGGAGTTGACCGGGGAACTTGCTAATGAAGTAAAGCGGGTCGAGCGCCCCGAGGTAGTCGTGGGACCCGGAATCGATCTCATAAATTACATCTCTGTGACCGTAACCATCGAGCGTGTCTTTGAGACCATAGATACAATCAGAGAAATCTAAGTTCGTGATATTGGTGCAATGAGGCATACTCCTCAGGAATATCGGAAGAAGTTCGCGGCGGAGAAGTTGACAGGTCTGCGTAAGGCCGAGCGCAAGGGGGCGAGAGCTTTGCCAGTAGACTTCGCGAGACTCTCTCTTTGCTCCAGATTTTGATGAAATCTTGCGCGGATATAAGCGCAAAGGTATGGCTGTAATCGAAGCGAAACTCGATGGATCTGAGAAACGAGCCACATGTACTGTCAACTGCAAAGCTTATTAGTACATATACCACATTGCTTTGGACCTGGGATGCGCCACGCACGATTTTTGGGTTCGAGACATCGATGAGATAGCCGTAAATTCGATTGCGCAACTCTGTGGTCACCGTTAGCGATAAATCTTCGACCTTGGAATGCAATGTTTACCTCCAGGTAGCTCAAGAAGGCGACTTCTCGGCGCAGATGTCGCGCCGTTACTTTCGGGTGCTGAGTCTACCATTTTCGCGACAGTCGCAGTATCCTCCGTTCGCGCTCGTAAGGAGAGGAGTTGCGTATCCCCAAGTGGAAATACGAGGCGGATGTAACGCGCGGTAAAGGCGAGCGCGCTATCCCGATTAGGCAACGGCGGAGAGTCGGATGATGAGTCAGCAGATCGCGCAAACCGTTGCTCATCTGCGCAAACGCCTTCATTTCTATTTCACCCCTCGGATGTGGCAGAGAATACCCAATCTTCGGAGCTAACAGTCAAACTTCGTTGGGTACTTCTACATATTGTCTGTGGGCTCATTCACAATCGCATTTACGCAGTGACCGTGAGTCGGGCGCAACTAATGACGCGCTGTCCGTGCTAGCCTTCTTCACGGATATAATTCTTATCGATTTTCCACATCTTCAGGCTCACAAACGAGCAGAGTTCCCCATCTGTTTCCAGCCGACTCCACAGGGAGTAGAAGAACATACCGCCCCAGTCAAGCACACTGTGCGAGATGCGGTGCTACATCTTGGAGCTGCCCGGAGGTATGTATCGTCCACTGCAAGTCTTGATCGAAGAATATGCTAACAACTTGGACAATTGAAGAGCTCCGCAATCACATCTACACCCACGTTATCGATGGAAGCCCGAAAGAGGTTCGACTGATACCTCCGCCTTACCCGTTGTGCAGGTTCAGCAGGACGCCAAATCGGATACTAGGCTGGTCACGACTTCGACGGCAGGCTCTCGGTCTTACTCAAGTTTGTCGCCTTCTCCGGAACGAGTTCCTTCCCATGCACCGCCAATGCATTCCCGCATATGTTCCTGACGTCGCCACCTTGGCAAAATTTGTGGCCATATCTTTCCCCCTACTTGAGAAAGCACATGGCACAGTGATACTGAGTCCATTGAAGAAAAGACCCGTCCATATCGACCTCGCTCCTTTAATTCGACTGCTGTTGACTGCGCCCGAGCTGACGATCAAACTTGAGAAGTTTTTTGAGAAGGACATAGTCTGCCTCAGAAGCCTCATTGACGTACGATCCAATGACGCTTGGAGACATTTCTTCGAGCGAGCTGTCACATCCGTTGTCTATGTTGCTCCTCGGACTTTCAGCGATCCCCAATTGCGTTTAGAGATCACACGTTCAGCGGTAGAACCGTGGATGGCTTGGAAGCCAAACGAAACCGTCAACAGTCCAATTCGAAGCCAAAGCTCTGCAGTCTGTAGCTATGTTGAGGACTGGGTGCAGAGAATCGGCCTTGGGGATATTGGGATACGACCACACCGAATCAGTATCAGTGTTGGGCACATACATCTACACGACGCCGGCTCAACCCGCGATCTCCCCTAGCGAGCCGAACATAATGGTGGAGTGGGTGGAAGTACATACTGTTGAAGATGATGTTTGACTCGACAAGCTTGCATCGCCGACGACACTGCAACAGTGGCCTCGATCCACGGGCCGAACAGCCTGGGCGAAGATTTGTGATTAGTCTTGGGAAGGTTGGTATACGAGCAATGTACGGTTCTTCATTGTACAACGACAAACAGTAATAACGGTTATGTACCCCCATGTCATTTAGTCCGTTTCGTCCATACTCTCCCAGGATGAGGCTACCACTCAAAGATCTTTGTTGAGATACTCCACAGGCCCAACATACACCTTGCGCCCCTTGAGAAAGAAGTAAACAAGAGAGAATACCACGACAACGCCGTAGATGAGGATATTCCAGTTCATCAGATCAGGTGTTGGGTGCGGGAATGTGGGGAAGAAGGCGAACACCAACACTACACACAGATACACAACAGACACGCCATTGACCCAGATACCAGCGCGACCGAGCGAGAACTTGCATGGTAGGAGGGGTTCTTTGTTCCACCTCTTGATGAACATGCATGAGATACTGACGATGTAGGACGAGAGGAGAGCACACGTGCCCAGCGATGCGACGGAGTTGAATGCCACGGTGCTGCCGATGTTGATGAGGGAGAGACCAATGGCAATACCGAAAGACACAAGAACACTGTTGAGAGGGATATCCCAGCCTGGTCGGACTCGGGATAGGAAGGCACTGAATGGAACGCCGTGGTCGCGAGCAAAGGCGAAGAGCTGGCGCGAGCATGTTGCCACATTGTTGACGCATCCAAATACGGCCATGATAGTCGTGATCGATGCCAGAGCTGTAGCCCCTGGAATGGACTGCGTAGCGTTGTACATGATCTGGATGTGGGGCTGCCCGGTCGGCGACATGATGGCGCTTTCGACGTCGCCGAGGCAGAAGCAGAAGGTTACTAGCATGAGGAAACCCAAACTGCTGTTAACGACTGCTGTCCAGATCATGGCGCGAGGAAGTGTGTGCGATGCGTCCTTCAACTCTTCGGACATATGGGTAGCAGCATCTGCACCCAAGAGAGAGAAGATTGGCGAGAGCTGTCCCACCAACACAGACAGGCCCACACTACCCCATCCAGCGTTGTCTTGGAATCCACCGAAAACCTCTCTGGATGGGCTGCGCGGCCCAAGCACCCACATGGTGATGAAGATCGCGAAGAACCCAAAGATGTGCAGCACCAGGACGATGCCTTCGACCAGAGGTAGCTTACGAGCTAGGAGTGTGTTGAACAGGATCGAAAAGGTTGCTACCGCGATGACCAAGAGGGTGCCGTGCCATCGTTCGGGGACGTAGTTGGGGTTGTTGAGGATGATGAGTCCTTGGACCTGACCACCAGCAAGGAAGGCGATGGACGCGATTCCGGTCTGCCAACCCAGCACACAAAGCCAGCCACTGGTACCTGGTTAGTGATAAGCCTTGTGGATATACTCGGGGAAGCTCACACGAGGTAACTTAAGAACTTCTGGTGTTTCTTTGGCGCGAATTCAGACACCCAGTGATACTGTCCACCGGAAGTAGGAGCCCTTAATTTTCGTCAGCGATTGGTTCGTGTCGAGGAGATCTTAGCAACGGGCCGCTACGCACATTGAAGCCATCTCAGCCATTGAGACAATGACAAAGCCCATGCCCACCGCTGTGACGAGGAACATGACGATGGCACCACCGGTGCCGCCATTGGTCAATGGGATAATGAGAGTTCTGTTGGGTGTCAGACAGTGCAGATCAAATGTTCATGCATACCCACGTCAGGATGGTCTCCCATGTCGCCATCAACACCATACTGTATCCGAAGATTGACACGAAACGGAAGTTCCGTCGCAGCTCCTGTTGCTTTCCCATACGATACATGTCCTTTTGGTCGCCAGCGGTTCCTTTCTTCTCTGAAACGACGACATCCTGCTGAGACTCGCCGTCGAAAGGCTGGGCCACCACAGCAGCCTCACTCTTTAGGACTGACATGATGGGAAAACGAATACACAAAGTGAAGACTGGAAAGAATGAGTGCGAGTGTTGAAATGCAAGCAACAAGACAACCGAGAAGACCCGGAGATTGCTCCGGTGACACTACCTAGGTAAGAACTCTGAGGCATGGCGCAAATGCATCTGGCTCAATGGCACGGGAGAATTTCGATAACCCAGCAGCTTAAGCCGAAGGCCAGCTGCAAGATGAGACCACTCAGGTGGTGTGATGGCTGGCTGCACGTTGATCGTGCAGGGGACGGACCGGCCATAGCCCAGGGGAGGCTAGCGCGCCGCCCCGCGGGGGAAGCGGCCTCCCAGCCGATGCGTCTTCATTCCTTCGCAATGCAACTCAACTCCTTCGCATCCTCTGCAACGTACCACCACGGCTCGACGCCTTGTCAACACGGCTCGCTTGCGGCACAGGCTCTGGCTAAATGATGTCGTCTAATACTCTGGCTGATGAAGAAGGCCAGATGCGAGACGCGCAGTTTACTGACCACCTGGGCGTGGGGGCACAGACGGGATTCCAGTAAAATGACGGCCTGCTGCAGCCCTCAACTTGAGGGTCATAGCCGCCATGGTATGTCAGTCAAGGCTTACCGACCCACGCATCCTGCAACTCTAGAATGTCCACGACGTTGGGAGATAGTTATCGCTGGGCGCGCATCACGCCTGATGATCGCAGTGGGATCCTGTACATTGTGACATTCCTCGCTTTCACTTATACGAGCCTTACATTTCTCACCCGACTGTTCATCAGATGGCGTATGCTGGGGCTGGACGATGCAGCGATGTTGATTGCGCAGGTATGAATGCCACTAGCATGAGACTGTCTATTGCAATGAGTTGACAACAGCAGGTTGCCAGCGTTGTCCAGTTCTCACTACTGCTTGCTTCCCTATCAACTGGGCTGGCACGATCATCCGCATCCCTTACCAAAGACCAATACTCATGGATGGCCTCTGTAATACGACCCCACCCAGCACGGCAACTGTTTCTAACGCGTTGACAGACCTATTCGCGTGGTCAAGTGTTCATCTACATATCTCTCGGCTTCTCGAAGACGGCTCTCATACTGCTGGTACGACGACTCTTCATGCGCGACATGAAGCACGCTTGGGCAGTGTGCAATGTGGCCACCGTGGTTATCATAACGTGGACACTTGCATCTGCGGTGCTGGTCTCAGCTGGCTGCACAAGTGAGAGCTTGCTACCACGGAACTCCTCTGAGATCTGCCATGGTCTCGAAATCCGCTACATGGTTGTCGTAATCAGTGACGGAATAACCGACTTTTTGCTGGCCTTCATCCCAACATACTTGTGTCGGCGACTTCAGATGAACATCGTGTTCAAGTTGCAGATATTGGGAGTTTTCGCGCTACGTCTGCCCCTGATCCTCCTTGCCGGGCTGTTCTACAAAACCTGGACTAGCTCGTTACACGGTGAAAACCTCGGTGTCGAGCGTACGACAGCATTGGTTTACCAGCAATCGCAGCTTTGCTTCTCGCTGATAGCGGCAACTATACCGTGTCTGAAGTCATTCATCCAGAGCTTCGATACCGGCAGCGGTCAGAAAGCGGGTGTTGGGTATTCGACGCATTCTAGCGGTTATGGGCACGTGTCGAGCGTGCATCATAGCACTTCTCAGTTCGATCACCGCGAAAACATTCCGTTGTCTCAGTTTGACCGTGGCGGAGGTGCTTCTTCACGCCTTCCGGGAGGAGCGAGCGAAGGCGCTGTCAGAGTCAATAGGAAACCATACATCGTGGAAAGCAGTCTGAGTACAGACGACGAAATCGGAGAGCTGGACCGCAGGAGTACACTTGAATCTGACCGGAAGAGTCAGCACAGTACCCAAGAGCTTTTTATTCGGAAGGATGTACACTTTGAAGTGAAGCACGAACCTGTTACAAAGGGACTCGATACACATCGGCCTGGTCTACTTCGCTTGCCCAAGTAGCTGTGTCTTCAGACTCCATACGACCCACCAAGGTCCTAGCAATGTGCCCGCGCTTTTGTATAATGACCACAATGGTTACACAGCCCTCCCTTCAACACTCTTACCATTCTTGACCCACATGAACAATATATTCCCACCCTTCACACCCTCCTTCCGCAACGGATTACCTTCCCCCTCGCTTGCATTTCCAACCACCTCATCAAACCCACACTTCAAATAGAACCCATCCGAGCCCTCACTAGCCATCACGCTTGCCCTAATACCCTCTTCCTCGGCACGATCCAGCCCCCACCGCACTAGCAGCCGTCCGGCCCCACGGCCCTTAACATCAGGATCCACGCAGCAGAGCGACAGGTACCAATTGGTCGCGCACGGTCCGGCCCAGTAGTGTTTAGTAAACGATGCGGCCTGGGCTAGAATCTCCTTCTTTGAGGGGTCTGCGGCGCGGTTGTGCGTTGAAGGCAGGACGGGAAATGTACCAGGGTCTGTCCATCCTGCGATAATTCTTTGCGCGCCTGCGTCGTCGCCTTGGCGTTGCCAGATTGCTGCACCGATGACATTCTCTTGCTGATATGAGGTGGTTGAGACGGCGACGATGACTTTGTTTCGTGGGTTGGTCCAGTCGTTGCGTACCCATTCGTGCCAGAAGATCTTTACGTCGTTGGGATACTGGGCTCGGTGGGGGTGCATTACTCGACCGAAGAGATCTTCTTCCATGAAGGCACGCGCGCAGATGTTGACGATGGCTGGTTCATCGGAAGGCTTTGCAGGGCGGAGGTGCATGTTTGGGATGTGAAGAAGTCCTGGTGTTGATGAGATGAGACCCAAAATGATCGGGGTATATGTAGCCTCAAATGCACCGCCTGACTTGGACTAACGTACACTTATGCAGCTGTCGAGCGGTTCCTTAGTCTCAAATGTAGCCTGGGTAGGCTAGGCGTCACAGTCGTTAAAATGTGAACAAAGCCTGAAGGATTTGATCTGTAAAGCGTCTCAAGGTGATGTGTTCAAAAGCCGGCAGGCAAGATTGAGACATTGACTATCCCCTCGTGTAGCAGTTGAAAAGACACCCGTGGCCCCTGCAGGAAGTGGTCTGCACTCGGACTGGATTCTTTGCACGTGATGTGTTGATGCCTAGGTAGTGGCCACTGTACCTTCTCCTGCTTCAATTCACAATCTCGCCCCGGTTTGGCTTCGGTCATCTCATCACCGCCCCTTACGCGATATCAACTCCGGGACTGCTAATCCGCGGAACGATGGAGGGCACTTTAGGCATCCCCATAGCGACATGTCGACTTCTCCAACTGCCTGGCGGTATATCTCCTCCCCTCCCCTAGTGCGTCACGCGTACTAACCCTTTGATGCAGAAGTGCGCAACGAAATCTACCAGCACCTCGCCCAGCCCCACAGCATCAACTTTGGCACACTCAGCCTCAATCCGCATATGCAACACTGTTTACCTGGACAGCCGCTCTGCTGGACTTCGAGCGGGCGCAACACACTCGGCCTTTCCCAAACATGTCGGAAGCTCCGGCGCGAATTCCTACCACTACTCGAGCGACAGTCGACGGTAGTAATCGGAATGCATCTGGTAGATCCGTACATCGCGGACTTTTTCCCGGGTGATACTGAGGCGCGCGGCAATTTGCGCATCATGGCCCGACAATACGGTGTGTCGCTTGAACTAGCTGGATTGCTTCGGCTCTATGCGAGGTCTCCTTTACTGCGGGTTTTCTTCCATACGCCCTTCCCATGTCCACCTCGCCGAGTCATACCCGAAGATCGAAACAGCGCTTGGCTCGGCTATGTGATCAAGAATGTGTCTCGATTGACGTACACACGCTACGTTGATGCGCCCGATCATGCCAACCATCATTTTCACGTTTATCTGACACATGAGGCCTTTACAGCCATTGCGTCGGAAGGCGAGACTGAAATCCCGGGACAGCATTGGGCTAATCTCGTCGGTTTTCCAGACATGAATTGGCGTAAGATCGTTGTAACCATTACGGAGGCGCCAAGTGGTTCAGCGGAGAAGGATCAGGGCGTATATGGAGATGTGTTGACAAGTTGATGATCAGAGATCGAGGGGATGTGTAGAGAACGGAAAGATAAATTGAAGATGATTATGGATTTCGCTTGTACTTTCATATTACACAAGAGTTGTCTGCGTAATTAGTCTGACAACATTATGCAGGAATAATATCCGCAACACTCCTCCAGAAATCGCACCTCATACCACGCCCAGCCTCCCACGTATACGCATTAACCAGCGTGAAGTTATTTATCAGCCCTGGCTCACTGAGGTAAGTCGTGTTAACCGGTGAGCCAACAACTTGCGAGCCGAAAGCTAGCTCGCCACCCGTTTGGTTAAGATCGAGTTGGTAAGGCTCCGCGATCGTGAAAGCCGGCCATTGAGTAGCATCGTTGGTAGCAACCGATCCGTTGGACGAGCCAGGAGAGCCAGCAGCGACGGAAGCAGAGATCGACGGGTTGCCCTCAGTGATGAAGTTGCCCCAGATGTTCATGAAGGCGCGTTGGAGGTCGGTGCTTATGCCTGTCTTGCCGCCTAATGGTCCGAAGTATACGCCCACGTCCGCGCCATGGGTAGCTGGGAGGGCACTGAACTGGTACTTGTATGATGTGCGATCACCGTCAGTGTACGCTTCTGCCATCCAGTATGATGGGCATACGAAAGTCAGTTCGGCGTAGAGATTGTTAGCACGCTGCTGCTGTCCGGTTGCTATCGAACTCTGGTCGAGTGCGCTTGGACCAGTAACGCCGTTTGTCGCGAACTCCTCTGCGTTGGAAGTGGCCGCGGCGTCGCTGATAGGGTAGTAGCGAAGAACCTTTGCGATGTCGGAGTCGGTGAATTCGGGCAGGTTGTTGCGAAGCCACGCCATGAAGTCGTCCTCGGAGATAATTTCTTGAGGCACGAAAGATGGACCCTCATTGGCGTTGTTTCCGATCAAAGCATTCCGTCCATTGACACGCTTCTCGAGAAGCTGGCTGCTTGGCTCATCTTGAACGTACACTC